ATTTTAATTATTTCACTCCGAAGGTCACATTTAAGGAAGCTCCTATTCAGCTGCATCTACTTCTCCCACGAGGTACCTTTGGATTAGGAAGTGACACTGGGAAATCTTCTTCAGGCAATAGATGCTTGGGAGAGCGATGGTAAGAATTCTAATTCTTCTACCATCCCAACATTTGCTTTTTAATTATAATTAGGAGGAAAGGCTAAATTCAAGACTGAGATTATATCTTATGAATTGATGAGTACTTTGCAATTCAAAGTAATTAGTAGGTGTCCTACTCAAAGTTGCGAAGGAAAGTTGCGGAAAAGGTGTTCATGTGTGCCTTTTACACGGGCAATAATATATAGAGGTAAACTATTGGGTGGGCAACTAAGTCATTGCCGTTTTTGTTGACGGATTCACTCTATACTTTCTTTTGTTTTGTTAACGTGGCCAGAGCATCTAACCTATATTTTTTTCTTACTATATGGGCTTCTAGGTTAATTAGTAAAAAAATTTTTTTGTTTAGTTCTTTAGTTTTGTTTTTATCCCAATTTAAAAATGAAAGAACAGGACGTGCACTTCCGACACATTTTATTGTATTACTTCCGAAAAGGCAAGAACGCATCGCAAGCACAAAAGAAGTTATGTGCCGTATATGGAGATGAAGCCTTAAAAGAAAGGCAGTGTCGAAATTGGTTTGAAAGATTTCGTTCCGGTGATTTTTCACTGAAAAATTCACAACGATCTGGCCGCCCAGTCAAAGTGGATGAAACCCATATCAAGGCCATTATCGATTCAAATCGTCACAGCACAACACGAGATATTGCAGAGAAGCTCAATGTGTCGTATATATGCATTGAAAAAAAATTAAAAACCCTTGGTTATGTCAAGAAACTTGATTTATGGATCCCTCACCACTTAAAGGAAATTCATTTGACGCAACGGATTAGCATCTGTGATTCGCCGCTACTGAAACGCAATGAGAATGATCCATTTCTGAAGAACCTAGTTACTGGAGACGAAAAGTGGATAGTTTATAACAATGTTACTCGCAAGAGATCATGGGTGAAGCAAGATCAACCAACCCAAACAGTATNCCCCCCCCCGTCTAAATTTTCGAAACCGAGTCATTTCAATTCTCAATCGAAAAACAATAAGGGTGGCAATTGATGAGATTTTGGGCGTAGAATGCGTGGGCGTTGGTTATGTTTGTGGTATTGATATCCTATTTTTGAAAGTGACAAGTGGAGAAAGGGGAGTGAGAGAGTAGGCCAATTTTGGGTGAATTTTTACTAACCACCCTCGATGGGCAGCAAACAAAAATATAAGTACGTGAATTAAATTAATGGGAAAGAACACAGTCGTTTAAACACAACGTGAGTTGTGAAAAGTTCATTATTTTGCATCATCTTTGCAATTTAAGTTCACCAGATATTTGATTGGTTATTTGAAGGTAAAAGAGACTTTAGAAAGCATGACAATAACGAAATTCTCATCAAATTAAATACTACAATAAGACAGTACCTACAAAAAACAGTTACAAATACACGAAACAGAACTATTAGTGCTGATAAAAAATGTTTAGAAAGAATAATCTTGCTCAATTCAAATGATTGAAATCCTATTGAGAAGTGTGTCTAACATATTACTCAATAAAAAAAATTCAGACTTTAATTCACACTTTAATTCGAATTGAGGTGCGCTGCGATTCTAGAATAAAATATAAACTCGGAGGGCTGGATCAAGTCTTCCAAACCTTAGATATTAGAGCTTTGGAGCTATATATTGACTTTCTACCTACTTACATCGAGTTGTAATCTGAATTTGCATCGATTGACTTCAATCTCTTAGCTACGGGGTGCGCGATAGACTTGCCTCCAAGTGGTGCACCCTGGGCAACGTAAACTCACACGGCAAAAAAGTCTATTAACCGGCAGTTGACTTCTGACTTCAAACTACCATGACCTCACTGTATGCCATATTCGACCACTTCCGCAGTACTCTCCTCACCTTTTCTCTGGCATTGTGTCTGTCTGTCTCTTTATATCTGTGAATCACTCTTCTGTTCCCCCACCCCTCTCGAATTTTTCTCACTATGATGTTCTTACCCTCTGTGAAGCCCGAAGTCAGCTAATGGGCATATGACAATTATCAAAACGCCTGCCATTTGAAATAATAATAATAATATCTTAGCTTCAGGACACAGAGCTCTATTTAATTTCGCCCGTGTATATTATTCCTCTTCTTTCAAGTTATTTGCGCGACAGTCTTTCCTTGCCTTTCTCAACCATAATTAGGCTTTTTCCTTACCCATCGTGCTTTTAGCCAGATGTCTTTCCTCTTTGTTTTGTCCTCCCCCCCCCCCAAAATGTTCTCATTATTCCTATCGTTTCCTTCTTCTACTCAGTCAAGGTGGATATTGTGGAGGCCAAAAATGTCCCTACCTTTGTGGATTTTCACACTTCTACGTTAGTGAAGGCCTGTGTAAAGTAAGGGCATAAATTGCTATATTTACGACGGCGCCACTTCACCTTCCATTTACTTCTTCAAGCTAATTTCTCGACGGCCCACATGGAGACTACAACGTGATCACAGTAGCCCCGAGTAGAGCGTACGCCAATTACTTGCTTGATACAAAAGACGTAAATTGGTGGGCATTGTTATTACAGAGAAGACGCGAGAAAGATGAGTCATTTGAACACTGTTTATCAACCTCCTAACTTGAGAGTCGTCTAGAATAATACTCATCGTATATTCAACTGTATCTGCTCCTTTCGATCCATGAATAAATCCACCATGCGTAATGTGATATGAACAGGTTATTCTAGCTGTACTGAACCTAGCCGCAAAAGATATTAGGCTTCGTAAGTTATTGAACGAATTAGGATTGATTTATTTATCAATTACTTGAATTTCATATGAATATCTATTAAACTTCATAAAGCCACTGTATGCTCTTTTAAATTTGAGTAAATTTCTCTTACATGGGACTGAGATAGAAGCTCCTTCATTATGAACTGATCGTAGATTTCCTTTCCCAGTGCGATCCGTTCTTCATCTGTTTCAAGGCTTTCCAATTTCTTGATTTCCTCGTAAAACCGGATTTGTGGAACTGGCTCCTCGTGGTAATTGAGACAGTAGTCCTTGAAGATCAGGTAGCCCAATTTCTGGTTGAATATCTTGTCGAAGGTAATTTCACCCCGCTTTTCCAAGTACTTCATCATCACACTCCGAATACTGTAAAGAACAATTGTAAAATCTAATTTATCTTAAAGTCTACGAATATTGTTTTTAAAATTAAGTATACCAAAATATGATCAATTCATTTAAACAAAAGACTTCGCCTTACACAATCTAAATTAACAAAAGTATATATTGACAACACAAATAATTGATAATAAAATTTAACGGTATCTGACGGATTCTTGAAATACAAATCTACCTTTTCATTATTACCGCTTCACCCATGGGGCTAAAACTTTAGAATAATCAATTATTCGAAAGCACCCGAGCTCAAAGCGTTCGCCAATAGTTCAACGGAGAGTAAAGACGAATGTATCAGCTAGAAGCTAGGAATGCGGTCGGAGAATCAATAGATTTTTTAACGGCTTTTGATGTAGAGATTCAGGATATACACTTCCGGCCCCCTAATCAATAGAATGTCCATTTTTGCATTCATCTATTCTGACCACCATTCCGCAAAATGTTAGCTCCTTGGGATTTCCGAGTGAATTTACTTGTATCCATCTGAGGTTTAAGGCAATAGCCACCATTACTATGACATTCCCAATACTGCAGCATTCTTATAACTAACATTACTCTTTGATTGGCTGTCTGTACACTTAGGCAAGGTAGAAACCTAGTTAAAACGGAACTTGATTAATATCAATGGAACAGGAAGGTGGACACTATAAGATAAAGCTTGAAATCCTAATTAAATGGAATAAACCCATGAATAGGTGTTATCGAAAATCGATGGTAAACAGAACGAGTGAGACCAATAAGTGATTGTTTCAGAGGCTAATAAAACATAGCAAACTTGTGATGCTGAAGAATGTCGGTTTATTAAAGTGATGTATTTTATCCCACAAAGGATTTCCGAATTTGTTTTCTTATAAATTCTTTGTGGGGTGTGCAAAGACATCTTCCCCCCCCCCCCCCACTTCTATTAGCAAACTTTATCTTGGCTCTTACATACGCCATTAAATGTCTTTGCAGAGAAATTTTGTATTCGTTCATTTTTCCGCCTTTTCGTGATTCAAATCAAAGACACTTTCCTAGTCCCTTGAAGCTTCCGTTAATACTATGCAATTCGGAGATTTTCTAGAACTGAGATCTATGATTTATTACGCTGTCAACATTTTTGGTCAAAGCAATTCCCAGTACGATGGAAATTAACGGCCAATAGGCAAATCCAACAAAACAGCGATCGTGGATTCGATGTGCAACAAGCCACTTCCGGTGGAATTCCCCATTATTGATTGTGAGAGAGAGAAAGAGAAATAAAATCAATAATTTCTAAACAAATTGGCTTGCAGTTTTTGGCGCACAGTTTAATAAAAATGAGTTTTGAAACGTTGCACATTAAGGCGCTTGAGA